CCATGGACGCTGACCCACTACACTGCGCGGGGCCAAGTATTGCCAGGCGCCGCCAGGCGCCCAAAGGGCGCCCAAAGGGTTCGAGCCATAATGGCGACGTTACGTTTGTTATGTTGCGTCGTTTGGACGGACGTTGCCTGCGTATAATTTGACCGTCAAGGGCCGTCAAGGATGCAACCTCTTTGCGAGCCCTGGGCGCATGCAGGTCCGAACGACGTAAGGGTAGGTGCTATGCTGCTGCCTGGTAGGTGTCCTGCTGCTGTCTGGTAGGTTTCGTTTTCTGTCTGGTAGGTGTTATGGTGCTGTCTGGTAGGTCTTATGTTGCTGTGTGGCTGTTAGGTTTCTTGTGCTGTCTGGTAGGTGTTATTATGCTGTCTGCATGGGTGTTCTATGCTGTCTGGTAGGCGTCCTGTGGACCACAAGGAGATGGCATGAGAAGTAACAGTGACACAGTGACGCAGGATAACCAGGCGAGAGAGTGCCATTTCAGACACCACCCCGAACGATCTACTGATGCCAGCGCACTGGCCTGTCGATGCGGCCTCCGAGCATCGCCGCACGATCCTGCCACACAAATCCAAACGAGCGACGCAGCGACGCAGCAATCTGATGAAGCTGCACCTCCGAGCAAAGAAAGCTGCCTGCAGGTAGGCTCAAGCTGGTTGTGTGCCACACGATGCCCTCTCACTTCTGCCGAGTCTTCGGGCCTGCATTGCACTCCACCTCAAAGAAGATCTTATAGTTGGTGCTCTCGACGGGCAGCTCCCCCAACTTCACTGGGAATCTGGAGCCCAACTGATCGATGAAGCCCAGCTGGATGCCTGGCGGGGCGTCATCCCACTTGTCCCAGCGAGAGGCCGCCGTCATGATAAGTTTCTCCGTGGTGATTTTCGTCGTCATGGGCGGCGACCGTGAGCGAGGAACCTCGACTCCCGCCGCAACGCTCTTCTTGGCATTGGTGTCCTTGGCTTGGGGCAGCGGCGGCGGCGCCGCTGCTACAACCGCCGATGCCTTCCGGTTGCTGATCGCGGCTGCTGATGCACAAACTGCCTTGTTGAGCGCCTCCGTGAACGACGAATGCTGCGGCGATGGGGCCTGGCGAAGCGACTCCGCCACATCGGCCACGTCGGAGAAGCTACGCAGTGGCGCGGCCGATGAAGCATGTCCTGATGGCGACGGGCAGGGCGACGGGGTTGGCGTCTGCTGCGACGGGATCTTGTTGTCTAAGTTGGCTGTGAGCATGCGGCGATGCTGCAACACGTCTGGTGGAATAACGGCGATGCCGCATTCCGGTGGCAACTGGGGGTCCGTTAGGGAGTCGGGCGGCCCTTCCCATTGGGTATCGCCGCCGCCATCAAACATCTCGAGCGTGCCACGCGGTTGCGTGGCTTCCTCTGCTGCCTGAATCATATGCTTCGCCTTGGGAGGCGCCGTGAACGGTATGGAATGGCAGTCTGTTGCGTATGCGTAAGCCTCCACAAACACGTCGGCGCCAGAACGCTGAGCCAAAACACGATTACTATACCCCTGGAGGAATTGAAGGAATGGGACGAAGAGGGGGAGTCAGACGAGGAGACGAGGATATCGGGAGCAGAGGCGATGCTGGGAGCTCTTATCATGAACTAGGGCATGACGAAGAGGGGCAGGAAGCAGGAAGAAAACCACTGGAGGGCGGCGTCGACATGGTTCATCCGCACAGCGTGTCTCTTGTTGCGTGGTGCACATCGCCATGAATTCGGCGGGGGTTAGATTACATTTAGACTCTCGATGTGCGAAAGTTGGTTTGCGGTTCGCAATGATGTGTGCCAACTAACGCGTACATGATGTTTGCAAATCCATAAGCATATCACGTTGTGTTTGCTTGTGCATCGCATACTTTAGCAGCTCCGTCGGGGCAGATGCCCCGACCAGGGCAGCTCGTCAGGGCAGATGCCCTGACAAGGTAGCCTTGTCAGGGCAGTTGCCTTGCCAGAGGAGGCTCGTCAGGGCAAATGCCCTGACGCGATGGCTTCGCCAGGGCATTTGCCCTGGCGGGGGGCGCTCGACAGGGCGATTGCCCTGCCAGGACACCCATGGCAGGGCAGACGCCCTGACGAGGATGCCCCGTCAGGGCAAATGCCCCGGCGACGCCGTCACGTCAGGGCGTTTGCCCTGACGCGGCCTCCGGGCCAGGGCATGTGCCCTGGCGAGGCCGTCGTGGCAAGGCAATTGCCCTGGCGACGCCGTAAAATCAAGGCAACTGCCCTGGCGAGGCCACCCGTCAGAGCAAACGCCCTGGCTCGGCTTCCTCGGCAGGGCAGATGCCTTGACGAGGCCGTCCTGTCAGGGCAAATGCCTTGGCGAGGGGGGCCCGTCAGGGCAAACGCCCTGAGGACGCCGCCTCGCCAGGGCAGTTGCCCTCACAAGGCCGCCCTGCCAGGGCAAATGCCCTGGCGAGGCCGTCGTGCCAGGGCAGTTGCCCTGGCGAGGCTTCCTCGTCAGGGTGCTTGCCTTGCCAAGCCATGGTTGTCCGGGCGCGTGCCCTGACAGGGCGGCCCTGTCAGGGCGATCCCCCTGACGGGGCGGCCTGAACAGGGCAAATGCCCTGACAGCACGGCCTGGTCAGAGCAGTTGCCCTGACTGGAAGGACCTTGTCAGGGCGTTTGCCCTGACAAGGCGGCCCCGCCAGGACAAATGCTCTGACCCGGGGACCTCGTCAGGGCAAACGCCCTGACATGACGGCGTCGTCGGGGCATTTGCCCTGACAGGTAGGACCTCGTCAGGGCGCTTGCCCTGACGGGTCGATCTCGTCAGGGCAATTGCCCTGGCGGGGCGGCCGTGCCAGGGCGTTTGCTCTGACCGGGTGGCTTCGCCAGGGCAGTTGCCTTGCCATGGTTGGCAGGGCAGGCGCGTCAGGGCAAATGCCCTGTCGGGGCAACATCGTCAGGGCGTTTGCCCTGACATGATGGCCTCGTCACGGCAGACGCCCTGACAAGGTCCTTCCCGTCAGCGCACTTGCCCTGACAAAGCCGCCATGTCAGGGCAAATGCCCTGACGAGGTCGCCCTGTCAGGCCAAACGCCCTGAAGATGCCCAACCCCTGTCAGGGCATCTGCCCTGACAAGGCGCCCTGTCAGGGCAAATGCACTGACGAGGCCGTCGTGTCAGGGCAGATGCCCTGACGGGGCTCCCTCGTCAGGGCGCGCGCCCTGCTACGCCATGACTGCCAGGGCAATCGCTCTGACCAGGTTGTCTCGTCAGGGCATTTGCCCTGACGGGGCGGGCCCTGTCAGGGCGATTGCCTTGACGGGGCGGCCTCGTCAGGGCATTTGCCCTGGCAGCGCGACCTGGCCAGGGCAGTTGCCCTGACTGGAAGGACCTTGTCAGGGCGTTCGCCTTGACGGGGCGACCCCGCCAGGGCAAATGCCCTGGCGCGACGGCGTCGCCGGGGCAGTTGCCTTGACGGGACGGCCTCGTCAGGGCATTTGCCCTGGCGGGAAAGACCTCGTCAGGGCGTTTGCCCTGACATGTCGACCTCGTTAGGGCACTTGCCCTGACGGGGCGGCCGCGTCAGGGATTTTGCTCTGACGGGGTGGCTTCGCCAGGGCAATTGCCTTGCCATGGTTGGCAAGGCAGGCGCGCCAGGGCAAGTGCCCTGACGAGGTTGCCCCGTCAGGGCGTTTGCCCTGACAGGATGGCCTCGCCAGGGCAAGCGCGCTGACGGGGCGACCTCGCCAGGGCAATTGCCCTGGCAGGACGGCCTCGTCAGGGCATGTGCCCTGACGCGACGGACTAGTGAGGGCGCATGCCGCTGCAGGGCTATCTTGTCAGGGCGCGTGCCCTGACACGGGGGCCTCTGTCGAGGCAGTCGCTTTGCTGTGCAACCTCGTCAGGGCATTTCCCTAGACATATGAGGCGCGCCAAGGCAAATGCCCTGACCGTCACGGCATTTGCCCTGACAAGGCGGCCGCGTCGTCAGGGCATTTGCCCTGACGAGCCCCCCCCCCGCCAAGGCCAATGTCTTGGCGACAGTGTCGTGTCAAGGCAACTGCCCCGACGAGGTCGACCCGCCATGCCCGTCAGGGCAAACGCCTTGCCAGGGCGACCTCGTCAGGGCAACTGCCCTGGCAAGACATCCTTGTCGGGGCGATCGCCCTGACGGCGCAGCGTCGCCAGGACTTGCCCTGTTGACGCGCTCTCGTCGGGGCATGCCGCCCGGGCATGCTTGCAGCCACGGTCAGGAATAGGCGCATTACACACGTTCCGAATAAGGAGGTTGGGTGGATTGTATGATCGTGTCTTCATGTTTGTTGTGTGCGTGTTGTTTGTTGCGCATTATTTCGTGATGATATTATGTTGTGTGTCGATCATTGTTTAGCGTTCGTGAGGCTTGATGTAGGAATGTGTTTTGTTGTGGGTGAATGATTTCAAGCAATTGCTTCAGACTGTTTTGCTTACGGGTTTTGTTTGTGATTGGCTCGTGAGGCTTCCTTAGTGCTTGGGTGAGATCCTTTAGGCAAGGGGCCGCGCTAGAACACAACACAACACAACATAATATACACAATCCAACAACACAGACTCAACAACACAGACTGAAGGACGAGGGCGGCACAGACGGTGAGTAGGATCATGGAGGAGGTGGTGGATAATTCCTGAGGTTACTCGGTGCACAATGGAGTCCTGGGCGGGACGGCAGACGCAAGAGCGGACCCTGGGGTGACCTTGGAGCCTTGGGGATGAGATGAGATGATTAACATGAGGCGGAGGACGGTGTTGACTCGTTGACGAGGATTGTCTGTGCGCAGCCGACCCTCCGAGCGGCAGGAGGAGTCGACGAAGCGAAGCGCTGGGGCGGAGCGCTGGCCACTGTCCGCAGGCGGCGGGGCCGAAGGACGGTCGCACCCCAACTGTGCTCTTATGCCCTCGGGCGGTCAGTGAATCTGCGCAAGAGGCGGCAGCCTTGCGCATGGCGCACGGCGCATAGCGTACACCTCGATCGGCGCACGAAAAAGACCTCCCAACTCAGTTCGGACCGAAGTCATCCATCCACTCGGATTCCCAATCCGCCACGATGGAGTACGTCTTGGGACTCTTGCTCTCCACGTCGATCGTCTTGACCGTCACAAGCTGGTCGAGGCACGCGTAGTAGCTCAGATGCGCGGCGATGACCGTGTTCGGCTTCAGCGGCGGCTCGATTGCAACGGCCGTGGCGCCGCCAGAGCACCTCCAGATCCGGGTAGTGGGGATGGAGTCGGCGGTGCCAAGCCCGCGCTCTTCGAGGACCTTCATCAGGCACTTCTTGAGGTGGACCACGCAATGGCTCTCGCGACCACCTGGGCGACTCCACCCTCCGAAGTTGGGCACAGGCACCTTGATCCACTTCTGCATGTCGTGGACCCACACGATGACCTCCTCGACGATGTTCTCAGGAGTTGGGCTCAACGGATCTTCCTTCGACCACGCTTCGTCAAGCGTCGACTGCAGGGACTCCTCGCTGGCCTGGCTAGATCCGATGTAGAACCACTTGTTCGAATACAATACTTCTTCTGGTGCATAAATGTTTGCCTTTGGCGTTGGAGGCTTCAATATGTTCCTGCCGCCAGCAGTCTTGATGACCTTGCCCTGCGCGGTGGAGACTACGATGGCGCTGTCCCCCCTGTCGGAGTAGCGAGAGAATAATTTACGCAGCGCGGTGATGATGTCTCTGACCATGATCGGCTTGTGGCCAGCCTCGGACTCGTCACCCTTGTGGACTGGCACACCGACCTTGGCCCACGTGTTGAAGTCCCCCAGCCACATGTTGACCGCTGTCAGCTCCTGCACGTCGCCCATGAAAGCGAACGACCGCATCATTGATTGCGCGGTCTGATGGCCGGGCTAGGATAGCTCGGCACGCCGAAGGCTTGCAGACTGACCTTCGAGCCAAAATGGCTGTCTGGCGGCTGGCGTTACTCTCCAGTGCGCTGGCACGTTTAACATATGGCTCTGGAATCCAGTCTTGGAGTGTCGAGACATCATCACACTTTGATTCAGTTGGACGCCTGATCGAGATATCATCACACTTTAACTCAGTTGGACGCTTGATCGAGACATCATCACACTTGGACTCGATTGGACGCCCCATTGAGATATCATCACACTTTGACCCAATTGGACGCCTGAGGAAGAGGAGGTCGAGCGGTGGAGAGATGGATGAGGAGGGAGGCATGGAAGGAAGAGGATGGATGAGGGAAACGTGCACATCGAGAAGTTAACGGCGTGAGCGAAAGTGCAGGAGAAGGACGATGTATGTTGCCTATATGTGCTCCTCCTCTAACAGATTGCCTCCAACCTCTGCCTCCATCACCAATCCCCCTCCATCCTCCGTCCTCCTGCGTCCTCTTCCTCCAGCCTCCTACCTCCACCCTCCCGCCTCCTCTTCCTAATCCGTGCCCCTCCCCTCCTCTTCGCCTCTTCGCCTCTTCGCCTTGACTCCTTGACTGTTTGCTCAGGCTGTTGCTGAAGGCTGAGAGCCGGTTCCTGGCCTGTCAATCCGACAGACTTTCATGCAAAGCTTGCACGTGGCCCGTTCGGCCATGCCCTCCTTGCCGCCAGCGAGCGGCTGCGCAAACAAGTCCGGCAGCCACGCGGGCGTTTCGTGGGCAGTGCGACACTCTTGCAGCGTGTGGCACAGATCTGCCCAGATGTCCGCATCGGGAATCTTCTCCTCGATTCGGCTGCAACAGCGGGCGTGCCAGTGGCAGAGGCAGAGCGGGCACACAACCGTGGGGCCTGAGTTGGCCGCGGGCTCTTCGCCGCAAGCCACGCGCGTCTTGCCCAGCTCTGCGAACTATCCACCTGCTCGAGCTGCCTCCCACATACGAATTAAATCAACGAGCGCAGGGTCGAGCCTAAATCGGGGCCCCGTCTTAGTCAAGACGCCAATGGCAGGATGGACAACTTGCCACCCATCAAACCGCTTCTCTTTCACCCTGGCAGCTGTGGGCCACACGGCCTCCCAAGTTCGAAGAGGATTCATTGGGTCGATGCCGTGTTCAAGTCTAACGGGCCTCCCCAATAAAATCTTAGGGAGTGACCATTCTGCGCAAGTGACGTCACTATCATTGTCGCCAGGGGGCGGCGCCATAATAGACATCTCAAATCGGGGCTTGCTCGCGCGCCCCAAACATAACTGTTCTCGCGCGCGCTGGCTATTATCGAGAACAGTTGCACCGTCAGATGCGCCTTGCCGCCACCGACGAAGGGCGCCTGAAACGTTCAGCGAGGGTTCAGCGTCTGGCGGCTGAGCTGGAGGCGGCAACGGTGGCTCCCTCGAGCTGCCGTCAAACGCAACGACGTCTAAAACAGCCGACTCGTGCTTGAAATCTAAATCTTCGGCTTCTGTGGAGCGCATGCGGGCGTCCAGCCCTTGCATCGCATCCTCTCGAACATTCTTGTATTTCTGTGACCCTAGAACAGCATTGACCAAACGAGCCTCAACACTACTCACTAAATCGTCTGGGCCCTCTCTGGAGCCAGTCTTTGTTACCTAACAGCGAAGACTGATAGGTTTCTAGTTGACTCAAAAGAGCTTAAAGATCACTCCACAGGGGGGTCTGGGCGGGTGCCGGACAGGGTGCCGCAGAACTCGTTTTAAGCAAACAGTCACACACTTCGTGCTCTTCGACCTCCCAGAACTCCATTCCCGGGCCACATTCTGAATGCCCGGAGCCAACTGTAGGCCACTTCGTGCTCTTCGACTTCCCAGAACTCCATTCCCGGGCCACATTTTGAATGCCCGGAGCCAACTGTAGGCCACTTCGTGGTCTTCGAGTCCCCAGAACTCCATTCCCGGGCCACATTTTGAATGCCCGGAGCCAACTGTAGGCCACTTCGTGCTCTTCGAGTTCCCAGAACTCCATTCCCGGGCCACATTTTGAATGCCCGGAGCCAACTGTAGGCCACTTCGTGCTCTTCGAGTTCCCAGAACTCCATTCCCGGGCCACATTTTGAATGCCCGTAGCCAACTGTAGGCAACTTCGTGCTCTTCGACTTCCCAGAACTCCCATTCCTGGGCCACATTTTCAGCAGGGGCAAAGCACGACGAGGAGGAGGACGAGCAAGACCAGGAGGACGAGGACGAGCAGGAGCAGGACGAGGAGCAGGAGGAGCAGGAGAAGAAGGACGAGCAGGAGGAGGAGGAGGACGAGCAGGAGGAGGAGGACGACCAGGAGGAGGAGGACGACCAGGAAGAGGAGGAGGAGGAGGAGGAGGGGAGGGGGAGGACTACCAGGAGGAGGAGGAGGAGGAGGAGGAGGAGGAGGAAGAGGAGGAGGAGGAGGAGGAGGAGGAGGAGGAGGACGAGGAAGAGGAGGGGGAGGGGGGGGGAGAGCTGCCTTTTCGTCGAGATGCTGTTCGACCCAGAGATGCTCCTACACATGGCTGTTAGGTTGCTTTGCCGGGATAATTACCGAACAGCTTGTTCTGATAGGTTTCTAGTGGGGTCGAAAGAGAGCAGCAAATGACTCCACAGGGGGGTCTGGGCGGGTGCCGGACAGGGTGCCGCAGAACTCGTTTTAAGCAAACAGTCACACACTTCGTGCTCTTCGACCTCCCAGAACTCCATTCCCGGGCCACATTCTGAATGCCCGGAGCCAACTGTAGGCCACTTCGTGCTCTTCGAGTCCCCAGAATTCCATCCCCGGGCCACATTTTGAATGCCCAGATCCAACTGTAGACCACTTCGTGGTCTTCGAGTCCCCAGAACTCCATTCCCGGGCCACATTTTGAATGCCCGGAGCCAACTGTAGGCCACTTCGTGCTCTTCGACTTCCCAGAACTCCATTCCCGGGCCACATTTTGGATGCCCGGGGCCAACTGTAGGCCACTTCGTGCTCTTCGAGTTCCCAGAACTCCATTCTCGGGCCACATTTTGGATGCCCAGAGCCAACTGTAGGCCACTTCGTGGTCTTCGAGTTCCCAGAACTCCATTCCTGGGCATGATTTTGAATGCCCGGAGCCAACTGTAGGCCACTTCGTGTTCTTCCAGTTCCCAGAACTCCATTCCCGGGCCACACTTTGAATGCTGAGGCAGGCTGATGCTGAGGCTGAGGCAGGCTGAGGCTGAGGCAGGCTGAGGCTGAGGCCGAGGCTGAAGGCAGACTGAGGCTGAGGCTGAAGCAGGCTGAGGCTGAGGCTGAGGCAGGCTGAGGCTGAGGCTGAGGCAGGCTGATGCTGAGGCAGGCTGAGGCTGAGGCTGAGGCTGATGCAGGCTGAGGCTGAGGCAGCCTGAGGCTGACGCCGAGGCTGAAGGCAGACTGAGCTGAGGCTGAAGCAGGCTGAGGCTGAGGCTGAGGCAGGCTGAGGCTGAGGCAGGCTGAGGCTGTGACTGTGACTGCCGTTGCCGCTGCGACTGTCATCGCGAATGCGACTACGACTGCGAGAACAGCAGAATTCTACAATTGGATTCTCATCTGAATCTTAAGGGGAATGCTTCCATATATGCTCCTACACATCGCTGTTAGGTTGCTTTGCCGGGATAATTTGATTGATGGTTTGGCACTGGTTTGGCCTTGAGTCGCACGCCCTTGTCACTGACCCAGACAAGTCGCTTCCCAGAAGATACCATGGCTGCTGTGGTGAATTCATGGAGGAACGACCGAGGTGCGATGCGAAGGCCCCGCTGGCCCCACTGGAATGTTGCGTGACCCCGGGCCAGAGATCTGAGTCCTGGGTTCGGCGGTCAGGCGCAGCCTTTGTGAATCCTCATTCGCATCCGCCGTGCCCTGCTTGATCCACTCTGCGCGCTTGGCGTCCGCCTCCTGCGAGCCGCCGCCCTCGCGCTGCAGCTCGCGCTCCAAGACCTAGCATGGGTGGCAACAGGTGGATAGTGAGGGCGAGACGGAAATTGAGAGTTGGGGGTCAAGAAAAAACACGACCGCCCCTCGCTCGGCGCCGCTTCGGCGAGACGACGCGACACAAAGCGCTCATCTCTTCCTTACGTCGCGACGCGACGTCGTCGTCGTCGTCGAGGCACCGATCGAAGGGCGATCGCGGTGACCCGACCGTGACCATGACAACGCCCCAGGGCCCCCAGGGCCCATCGGGAAGTTCCGCCCGGGCTCTTCACATCAAAGCACACGTTTCACACTGACGATGGCCCCTGGATTGGAAATCTCGCCGAACATGTCGAGCATCCTTCGGAATCCTTCCAGGTCTGCCCCCCCCAATCCCCGCCGCAATTTCATCGGAAACACCAGTGGAAGCAACAAGCATTATTCCGCAATCCCAGAACCTTCTCCTCAGCTGCCTCTCGCGCTGGGTCTGGACCCCCCCACTCATGAACATCAGCAGCGTCAGCTTCGGCAGGCGCGTCCCTGGCCCCATCAGCTTCGCCATCATCCGGGTCGCCAGGTGGCAGACCAGCATCGCGATCTCCAGCAGCATCCCCGTCATCGTGCGCATCGTGAGCAGGAATCTCGACGTGAGCTCGTCGATGTGTCACTGGAAAGAGTATGGATCCTTTCTTCTGGATTATTGCATAGAGGTCGCGCATGGCTGGCACATCTGGATCCAGGGCAACTTCTTCGGGGTTACCGTAGCGCCATATCATCTTATGGACACTGGAACTCATTAGATATGGCGATAGCGCTGCTTCTACAGCTTTGTCGAAGGTGAGTTCGTTCAGCTGCCTGTGGCACTGAGTGAACAAGTCTATGGGAGATATCCGCTCGCCCGACGTCGACGGGCTGAGATGGAGACAGCATGCCCGCGCGTATCGCACGTGCGCACGCAATTTTCAACCCGACCCCGTCGGCCCGACACCACGCGCCCCCTGCTCGTCCGTCGCCAAAGGTGCCGAAGCTACGCCATGGGCTCACGGGCCCTCATGGGCCCAAGGGGGGAAAGGGGATTGCGGCAAAACGGCGAAGCCTCTTAGCTGAACTCGCACGGATCGCTGATCTTGCCAATGAAATAATCCGGGATGTTCGAAGGTGGTAGATTGATCTTCAGCAGTTCGGAAGTCGTGTAGTTGGTGTCGGCCATCATGTAGCCGACAGAATGAGTGTTATACGATAACAGGTCGAAGTCGTCGGGGTTGTCTTCGTCGATGTTCTCCAGATTGCACATCCCAACGACGATCAACTGGTTCGCGTCTGGCCTCCCAGAAGAGCAACGGACCAGCTTCACGCTATATGGTTTTGCCCACAGGGCTGCAGGCGATGTGTCGACAGGGCAATCAACCTTCAATGTAGCACTGACATTCACGTCCGTCTCGATCGGTTTGGCCGCCTCGAAGCGCGCATCCTCGATGGCGATGCCCTGAGCCTGTTCTGCAAATGGCAGGAGTTGTCTCAGCAGCGCCTCCGCCCGTGGCTTGATACTCGACCACCTCATGCTCGCGCCTCTGGCCCCCGCCCCGAGCCACTTCTTCACGTTGATGTGCGAACTCATCAAAGGCAAGCCGATATTCTGCATCGTATACTCATCTGTCTGATCAAGCTGTTGTACTGCCCGTTGCCCCTGACGTCCGCCTTGGAGTAGCGCCTAATGCACGTGGTAATGCTGTGCAACAGCGCGCCGCGTGCGCCCGTGTCACGCGCCTGCGCGAGATCATGGTGGCGCAGGGCTCGGAGCTCGCGCGCGGTGATCTCCAGCTCGCCCTCCGCCGCCTCGAGGATTCTGGAAGCCATTCCTGGGCTGGGCACGGGCAACTCGAGAGTCAGCGAAAGGACAAGGTCAGGGCCCTGCTTGAAAAGATCGCCTAGCCCAAGGCCCCCCCCCATCGCCGCGGGTTCAGCTTGACTTGACGATCCACTCAAGTGGGCGCTAATGGACGCCCTGCCTTGACCCCCGTAGCACGGCCCCTCTTTCTGGGGTCTCTGGGGCCGCGGCGATGTCGGCAGTCGACGCAGGGGCGTGAGTGCGCCAGCTTGACCAAGCAATATGGAAACCTCGGCACTCGGGCCACGATCCACGACAGTCACGACAGCAGGCAGAGTGGCGAGTGGACCCCCTCAGCCTTCTGCCCGCCCCAACCCCCTTGGAAGGGGGGGAGGGCGGGAGGAAATGTGGGAGTGACCACCTCCTGTCATCCGACCCTCAGGACCCCCTCCCCCCTTTCTTGTCACCCCCGGGACCCCCCCTCCTTTCCCCCTCCTCGTCCTCCTCACCCTGAGCTGTTTGCTCTGACGCTGGACCTGTCCAGATCCTTCAAGATCCTCCCGTTGTATGCGGCAGCGTGGTGGGCGTTCAGCTCACCCTGAGGATGGAATGGAGTATTATATGGTACATGCGCGAACGCTTATGATAAAGGAGCATCTGATAAGTATAAGTTTGATGTAAGGATCTTTTTGCGTTACATGTCTGTCATGGAATATATCAACATACGTGCGTGGACCATCTTGATCATGGCATGATCATTATGGACCTTTTATGAGAGAGGAGTATTTTGGATGTTCGTGCGCGTTCCATCGTGCCCAAGAAGATGGAGGATTTCATGGGGGAGGGCGCGTGGGAAACGCTTGCAAGGGTGGGGCGCGAGGGCGGGGCGGGGGGGAATGGGCGGGGCGCGCGAAGCCGAGCGCGGGGTCCGCAGCGACGAAGTACACAGGAATTCCATCGCATTGAGGCATGCACGTGGATGCGAGGGGCGTCGGCAATCCGTGCATGATCTAGCATCTAGGTTCCTGGATATACGATCTATATCATTTTGCTGGAAGAGGGCGTCTTTTACTTTAGGCACCAAACTGTTCTACCCCTCCGATTACGAGTTCGCTTGAGCCACGGCGAGACGAAGGAGGAGGAGGAGGAGGAAGAGGGGTTACATGTATTGCTGACGCAGCGGTTGCAAAATACGCACGTATGCCTGACAGTTCAAGGACATCGAAATATGAGCCCTCGGTTGTGCGTCTTTTGCAACACCCATGCGCGCGTTGATGCGAGCGCGTGCTGCAATCCCGGGGCGATGTTTTTTTTTTTTTTGCGTCGAATACGCTAGGGGTAACCGAAGCCCAAGACGTTCGTCGGAATTGGCCCCGAAATGACAGCATGTTAGGCACAATTGCATTCAACTATGCGTTTGCACTGGCGCCGCAATCGCAGCCAGTTTGAGCCTGTGCCGCGAGGGGGAGGAGGAGGGGGAGGAGGAGGAGGAGGAGGAGGAGGAACAGGAGGAGGAGGAACAGGAGAAGGAGGACGAAGAGGCTGCCATGGCCACGACGACGACGACGACGACGACGACGCGTGTAGCTGGAGGGCTAGGACGGGCGAGGGGAGGAATACATATACCTACAATGATTGAGAGGGAAAACGACCGCGGATATTGCGGGCGTTCTTCCTGGAGGGAGTGCGAAGCGGAATCGGCGCGGAGGGGGGCGGGGGACTAGGGGGAGAAGATGATGGGGGAGGGGGAGAAGGAGGAGGAGGAGGAGGAGGAGGAGGAGGAGGAGGAGGAGGAGCAGGCGCAGGAGGAGCAGGAGGATGACGAGGAAAGAGGACAAGGAGGAGAAAAATGAGGAGCATGGTTTTCGGCCCCGCCGCCGTGCCTGGGTAGTGGGAGTGGGTCAGCCTCATGCGTTTTTGCTCTGGGTTGTTTGGCTTGGTTCTCTGGTGATCTTTCGGATGCATCCTGTTGTGTGTTTCGGGAAAGGGGGGGGGGGGGGGGGGGGGGCGCTGTGGTTTTGGGCGACTTCCCGGTGCCTCCTGCGCGCCTTTGGTTGTTCCCCCCCCCCCCCCCCCCCCGCTGCCGCCATCCCCATCCGCATTTAGCGCCTTCCTGGCGGCGTTTGCACTCGATGGCCAGAATTGCTCGGACGCCCCGCGCGTCGCGCAGGCGCGTAGTCGGCAGTAGTTGGAATGTAGTTGGAATGTAGTTGCATTGTAGTCGCACGGTCTGCATGTTATCGGTGCTCGCATGCACTGGCGGTGCTCACAAGTTTTGCGCTTGCGCCTCGCCCCGAGAGTTCCCGTGCCATGCTGTCGTTGGTGTCTGCAGATCGGCAGAACGGCGAGAGCCGTCGGAATATGTGATAAGCGGAATGGCGGGAGCCTGTGGCATGTGAAAATCGGGGTGTCGGCGACGGCGGTAGCCGCAGATATTGAAAAGTTGTGTTGAAACCCTTGCCACCTCCGCAGTCTCGCCCTGTGCGGCCTCGCCCTCGGCGCCGCTGGACTGCGCGGGCTTCTTCTGGGGCTGCGCCATGCCGTGCGCCACGCGGTAGGCGAATGCTGGAGCTCGAAAAAAAAACAAACAAACGGGAGCCTGCCACGGGCTCCCTCGAGCCCGATCTCCACGGACGACAGATACATCAACGCGATAAGATGGTGCCCGAAACTAATTGTTCAGGCTTCCGATGCCATCGATCTCACCCCTCCTCCTCCTCCTTCTCCTCCTCCTCCTCCTCCTCCTCCTCCTCCTCCTCCTCCCCCTCCTCCTCCTACCTCTCCCTCCTGTTCCTCCTCCTCTCCTCCAGGGGCAGCGGCCCCCGCAGACCCTGCCCCGAGAGGGGCGGGCCCCGCGCCTCAGCCTCCTCATCCTCGTCGCCCCCCCCATCGCCCTCCTCTTCCCCGTCCTCCCTGCAGGGTGGGCGGGTGGAGGGGGTGGGGATAAGGGGGAGGGGGGGGGGGGGGGATCGGGGAGGCCCAGGGGGTGGGGGCTCGGCCCGCCCTGCGCGAACAGCGAGTTCGGCGCCGACCCCAGCACCGCCGCTTGCATTGACGCCAGCACTCTGATGTTCCATTTGAATTCGCAACAGCCTAGGGGGTGGGGCCCCCACCCTCCTCCTCCTCCTCCTCCTCCTCCTCCTCCTCCTCCTCCTCCTCCTCCTCCTCCCTCCTCCTCCTCCTTCTCCTTCCTCCTCCTCCTCCTCCTCCTCTCCCACCCCCCTCCCCCTCATCCTCCTACCCCCCCTCTCCTGCTGCCCCCCCCCCCCCCCCCCCCCCCCCCTCCCCCACCTCCTCCCCCCCGCTCCTCCTCCCACCTCCTCCTCCACCTCGTCCTCCTTCTCCTCCTCCTCATCATCCTTCACCTCATCGTCCTCCTTCTCCTCCTCCTCCTCCTCCATCTCCTCGTCGTCGTCGTCGTAGTAGTCGTCGTTCAGGGTCGGCGGCACTGACCGCAAGGCATTTCCGATCTGAACAACGAGTGCTGGCGTCAGTGCTGAGTTCTGTGGCGGGGATCGCTCGAAAGAGGTTTAGCTCCCCCCGAAACGCGTGGCCCGCTGTGCATTGCACGCCGCGCTCGAACATCCAGGCGACGCCGCCGAGCTCGAAACTCACTGCTCAGCCGCCTTCGCAGCAGCAGTAGCCAGCAGCTTGCCGAACTTGGACGGGTAGTGGGCTGTCTCCTTGAGCTTCCGATTTCCTGAGGGCGAGTGCGAGGAGCAGAGCGGGGGCGGCCAGGAAGGGGAGGGCGGCCGGGAAGGGAGGCAGGAGGGGCGATCGACAGGGAAGAGAGGGTGGGGCGGGGGAGGGAGAGGGCAAGAGCCGACGGGAGAGAGCGGGTTGACGGTTGGGGGCGGGCAAAATACCAGGGCCGTTGCAAGTGGGAATGAGCACGCGGGGGTCTGAGTTGCCCTGTGGGGTCCTGTGGTCCAGCCTTCTCTTTGTCAGTCTTCCAATAGCTGTCCACCAGCGACCCCTCCTGCTTTGGCTTAGTAGAGCCTTTTGGTTTCGCCTTGGCGATGGGCTTCATCAATTTGATGGGGATGTTGGAGCCAATGATAGTGCCCTTCAGCAGTTTGGATCCGAAGTAGCACTGGTAGGTAGTTGTGATGTGGCCGCCCGTCTGCTTCAGAGCTTGTTTCACGACAGTGCATTCGAAAAATAACGAGTCGATCGGCTGCTCAATCATATAGAACACCCCGCGAAGCAAACACAGATACATAAATTGTGCAACGATGAACGCAATGAGGTTGCTCCTAGTCACTTGATCGCTGTCAACGCGTCCATGGACCGATAGATACCGACCGCTCGTGAAAGCATTCAGGAAACGGCTCCAATCCGAGCAAGGTGGCGCCATGAACACAACTCCCTTGGGAACGATCGAGAGGGCAAGGACCACCGCCCACGCCAAGCCCCTGCGAGGGCGGCGGGGGGGGGAGCTGGAGGATGAGGAGGAGGGGGATGAGGAGGAGGAGGAGGAGGAGGAGGAGGAGGAGGAGGAGGAGGAAAGGAGGAAGGAGGAGGAGGAGGAGGAGGGAGAGGAGGAGGAGGAGGAGGAGGAGGAGAGGAGGAGGAGAGGGAGGGGGGGGGGAGGGTGAGGGGGGGGAGGAGGAGGAGGAGGAGGAGGAGGGCGGAGGAGGAGAAGGAGGAGGAGGAGGAGGAGGAGGAGGAGAAGGAGAAGGAGAAGGAGGATGGGGGAGGAGGAGGAGGAGGAGGAGGAGGAGGAGGAGGGGCAAACAAGGGCAGGCGGGCCCTGCCCCTCACTCGTTGCCCATTCCCGCGTCTCGTTCCACCCCCTCACCCCTTCCCCGCGGGTAGGAGAAGGATCGCTACTTTGAATGCCGCTGGGGGCCCTTGGGACAGCATGTCCTCCTCAGGGTGGCGGGTCTCAGCATCGAACTCGCGGGCGCCGCCCGTGAGCTTCCTGAGGTGGAAGCTGTACTGGCCCCAGCCCGAGAAAAACTCGACGCCCGTCCTGGCGACTTGACGGGGGTGGGGGGGTATCGCCTCCCTCGCCGGGAAGTCGCCACCGCGCCCCCTGCTGGGAAGTCCACCCCATCTCTGCAGCATTCCCTCATTCGTTTCCACCGTTGTTCGCCTTTCTCCAACTTTCGTGCCCGATATCCTCCAATGTGCTTCCGTATCCCCATTTCGAGGAGTAGTAGGGGTGGATGAGTAGGAGTGGGAGGGTCGGAGAGAGGCGAGGAGTAGTGGAGGTCTTCGCCAAATTCAACTCATCGTTTCCATTCTTTCCTCCTGCCCTCCCTCCGCTCTACGCCCAGTCTCCTCCCTCTGACCTCCTTCCTTGGTTTTTCTAATGCCAGCATCCTGATGCGCTTGGAATAAGTAGATCGAAATCCCATGATCAGGTTAATCACGGCCCGCGCGATCAGGATGTCGGAGATCTGGTTCGGAATCTTGGCCTAGCGGAGGGCGGAGAGGCCAGCGTGGATGAGGGCTGGGGGAAAAGAGGGCGAGAGGCAGGGAGACATGCGGATGGCGGGGAGAGAGGGAGATCGGGAGGCAGGGTCAAGGGCGAGGGGGCGCGGGAGGGGGGAAACGGGGAGGAGGATGGGGGAGGAGAAGGGGGGAAGCACGAGGGAACGGGCGGGGGGGGTGGCGGGTGATCGGGGGGAGGAGCACGACGTCCCCCTCCTCATCCTCCGCCAATGTTCCCGCAGCTTCCCTTTCTCATCCCCCCCCCTCCTCCTCATTGCAATCCTTTCCTTTTCGACGTGCCCGAGTGGTTCATCATCCTCTGGTTCCCCCTTTCTACTTTGCCCACTCCGTGCGCGGGGCATTGCATGGGAGCTAGCAGTTGGGGCAGGGAAGGCATTGGAGTGGAGGCGGATGGGCGGGCTGATGGTGATGATGATTCAGCAAATCCTGCGTCCAACACGTGCGCTCACACACCGCCATGCCAGTATTGGCCTTGCCCGACTGCGAGGTCCCCAGCCAACGCCAAGCGGTCGAAGTACCGAACCTCCCAGTTGGTCCTGTGGCTGGCTGCTGCGGCATTGGCCGCTCCGAGGTTGAGCGACTCGTCTAGAAACGTGGCCGCCACCATGGGGGGGGCACATTTCCTCGCTCGCCGAACGAGGTGCACCCATATGTGATGCTTGGGCGTCAGGCCCAGCCCCGAGGCCCTGATTGCAACCACATGAGACAAGCACGAGTCCAACAACCTTTGGCAATATTCAACCGAGGGAGTGATGGGGCAGGCCTTCAGCAAATCCACGTGTTCAATCAATGACGAAAGGGCCCGAATGATCTCCTCGGACCTCTCGATCAACAGGCTATGCTTCTGCCCGAGGCATAGCGCCCAGGGAAGTATTGTATGCGTCTCGCAGCCCATGGTCTTCAGATCTGGCGCATGTTCCTTCCCAATCATCCCTTTGGTAAGGTCGGTGATGCGGTCGCCCGTCGGCACTTCCTTGCTGTCGTACCACATGTTCAAGTCGTCCATCAGGCGCTGGAGCCCCACGTCAAACACCACCTCCCAGCCGCCACTGATTCGCCAGGGGTTGGCTCGAAGCACCCTCCAGATACGCAGAGACATGGCGCGCTGGTGCACACCGAGGTATAGGATGTGTAGAACGTCCAACGCAAAAGACGTTGACGGCGACACATGGAGGTTCATGTCGAATAGCGGGTTCCGATGGTTCACACTGTCCGTCACCATACTGCCATGCGTGTGGACCCTCCAAAAGCGGGCGATAAATGGGATCTTGGTCGCTGTGAAATCCGCCACGTCGGCTAAATCCACGCTGGGTTCCAGCCTGTCCCCTGGTTCCAGCCCGAGACTTGGCACGCCGCGTCGCAGCGTGCGCCCGCGCACGCCCCCTTTCCGATGGTCCCAGTAAAGCTGCCCGTCCGAGACAACCTGGGGGGGTGGCTCTAGTACTACTACTACTACTACTACTACTACTACCACCACTACTACTACTACTACTACTACTACTACTACTACTACTACTACTACTGTTACTACTACTACTATCATTTCTACTACTTCTACGACTACTACGATTGCGACTAATACTGTTACTTCTGCTGTCGTTGTCGGCATCGCCGTCGGGGGGTCGCGTGTGTTTGTATGTTTGTGTTGAGCGTGTATTTTGTTGTTTGTTCTGGTCGTCCCTCCCCCTCCTTCCCCCCGATGTGCGTTTGTTTGCTTCCCCTCCCTTCGCCCCTCCCTTGAAATGAGGGACGCGACGACTTGTTGTTATTGGCGTTGCGGCCGCCACCACCTTCCATTTGGTTTCTTCGCTATCAATGACCACGACTATCTCGCACGACTGGCACGCTTGTTCGTAGGCGGCGTGGTCCATCTCCCCCCACCTTGGAGGGCTCGTCGCGTCGGGCTATCGGAGTGCCGCCTCGAGGCCGACGCCGCGGGGGATCGCCCGATCTTCGGATAACTCGACCGCTGGATTTCCCCCGAGGCCCCCGCGTATCAGCATCGAGGGGTACGCCCTGGTAGTCGTGCATGTGATCGGCTGCCGTTGTGCACATCATGCACGGGCGGTACGTAGAGCTCAGCCCCCTGAGCCCGAAAGTGACGCTTTGCTCGACCAAGTCCCCCTTGATCCATGTAAGAGCAGAGCGCGTTATCGGCGTGCCCGATGCAGCGCCACGCGGGTCCCCCATCAACCAGGGCGTGCCGTCGTGTTTAGTTGATGGCATCACCCCTTCGTGGCACGCTTGTATTTGCCATTTCAGCGCAAGCATGATCGGGCATCAGCCGCCCCCGTTGTGGGTGGTCAAGCATGCGATAGATCGGTCCTTTCCCCCCATGACGCCCCCCTCAGCCACTCCCCCCCACCCCCCTCCCAGGGGCGGGGGGCGGGGGGGGGGGCAAGGGTGGCCGATGGGACAGGCGACGGGTGCGCCGGGAAGAGGATGCAGAGTAGCTGAAAGGGGCATCCCGAAGTTCGAAATTGTTGTTGTTTGGGCCCTTCGCCCGTACCGAATACCACGCGTTTGTTTGCCTTCTGTGCCCTCCCCCTCGTCCCCTTGATGCCCCCTCCGCTTTCCTCCAGTGATGGTCGTGACCTCCTGCCCCTGCCCCCGCCCCCTTCCTCTGCTCGCGTGTTGTTTTGCGTGCCTGGCTCGGCGGCGTCGCAAGACAATGCGATGTCGTGCACCACCCCCGACACCCGCACCTGCGCATCTCGCTCTTTCTGAGCACCGCCACTGGATGACGGCGCTTGCTGAAGAAACTATGGACGAAGAAGCCCAGGATGGAGTCCGCCTTGCCAGTCCTGTCTGACCTGGTAAACCTGATGCCGTCGCAATAGAGCGCCAGCATGACAGGCCTGGGTTGCCCAGCGGGCACCTGCATCGCTGGGTGCCACGAGACCGCCACTCCCCCCTGCATGGGAGGCACCTGGCATATAACACTCATTCACGTGAACATCCGAAACGTTACGGAGGCACATGCGCCAGCACTTCGGCTACAAGTCGTACCATTCCCTCATGTCGCCGTTCGCCTCCAGCGCGTCAGGTTGCAGCGATGGGTCAGCGGCGATCTCTCTCTCTATGGATTCGTGGATGGGGATAATCGGTATTGTCCTCGTACTTCTGGCATTTCTCCTCGTGTGCATGGGGGCGTCCAGCCAATAAAAAGCACTTCTATCTAAGCGCGGTAACACGCGATCCAAATGTTGCTGGAAGTTCCCCTGGGACTTCTGGTTCGGATTCAAGCTGAGCTGCTGGACCTCTGGCGCGGTGCACCCGCCCTTCCAAGCGTGGTAAGCCAACGTGCACACGTGATTCGCAGTCATTGGCCTCGACGCAGCGTACATCCCTAACAAGTGCGTGCGGAAATCTCTACATGCCTGGCTGCGTTCATGTGCAGCTTCCACCTGCAACGGGCCCCAAGGATTGCCCGCCGCCATCTCCGCCGCGCTGGCGAGAAGAGTGTTGAGCCCAAATTGGCTAAGGAAATGACATTGTGTCACGATACAGACGGACGAGACACTTATCCTCTTTGCCTCCTCGCTCTTCCTCATCATCCGCCTATCCCTCGACCTACCCTCGGTATTTTCTAATTCCTTAACTCACCCTCCCCTCTTGCATAGCCCCACCCCTCCGTAAGCCATTCCTCATCATCCGCCTCTCCCTCGACCTACCCTCGATATGGTCTCATTCCTTAGCTCCCCCTCCCCTCTTGCATAGCCCCACCCCTCCGTAACCCGCCCCCGCGCCCATCGTAGAATGGGCGGATGCTTTCGCCAGGAGGGCCCGCCCGCCCTCGCAACCACGACGACGACGACGACGACGACGACGACGACGACGACGACGACGACGACCTCGACCACGACCACGACCACGACGACGACGGACGATGGACGACGGACGACGGACGACGGACGATGGACGACGGGGCCGTCCGGGAAGCCCTCACAGGCCGATTTCCCCTCGAGGGGCCCGCCAGGAAATTCGCAGGGAAGCCCTGGGGACCCCGCGCCCATGGAAACTTATGCCACCGCAGCGGGCGACATCGATCTCTACGGGGAGACGCCGACGCTGTCTAGGCGCGGGGGGGGGGGGTCCTCTCTGACCATGCTCTTGACGTAGTCAGGGACGCCAGCAGGTGCAGCTTGCTTTTGGAGCCGAGCAGGTGGAGGTTTGCGATTCGTCTTCTTGGGGAGGTTCGCCACGTTTGCGAGGATGCTGGTCTGCTGCTTGCTCTGCTGCCGCTTGACCATGGAAGGGCGCCCCCCTCAGCTCGCCCCAAACCTGACGAATCCTCGGGCCTGTGATCTCTGGCGGGCGGAGGGGGGGAGGACGGAGGAGAAGGAAAGTGGGGGAGGAGGTGCGAGGAGGCAAATGAGGAGGATAAGGGTGACCACGAGGGGTGTTAGCAGGAGGTTTGGGGGCGAAGTAGGGAGGAGTGAGGACTCGGGGAAGCGGAGAAACTCTTCTCGGCCCTCCCCTCGCAGCCCCACCCACAGTCACAACACTGGTTTGTCTCTGACCTTGGCCCGAGAGCTCTGGGCCCCAAATCGGCGTAGGCGGCTGCAGTCGGGGGTAGTCGGGAAGTAGTCGGGAAGCAGTCGGGAAGTAGTCGCCACAATCATTGTAGATAACAGGGTTTGGTGACGTGTAGTCGGGGGTAGTCGGGAAGTAGTCGGGAAGTAGTCGGAAAAAGTCGCCACAATCCCTGTAAAATAACAGGGTTTGGTGAGGTGTAGTCGGGGGTAGTCGGGAAGTAGTCGGGAAGTAGTCGGGAAGTAGTCGGATAGTTGGCCCTTGCAGTATAGGTTCGGCCCCGACCTCCCCAGCGGGTTTTAGAACGCACCGACGTTCCACAATGGGTGTCTGGGATCCGTCAGCTTCGAAAATAGGCGAGCGAGCTCGCGCGCGGGCGCTGGGCTGGCGCGCGCAGCGGGCCTGGAAAGCAGATGGGGGGGGGGTGATGGGCGGAGTCGGATGGCACGGAGGACGACGAGCGGAGGATAGGTGCGTTGCTTTACCCAGCTCGGCTACCAAAGTTGACCACCGAGATGGACTCACCCCATTCTGGAACATCTCAGCGCGCAATCGGCGCACGGCTGCATGAGCCGCGCGCGCCCCTTGACACAAAAGGGTGCAGGCCCGTGTCGGCGAGAGGCTGCCGACCTGCGACCTGCCCTGACACCCGCTAGCAGATCATCAACTCACAAGCCACGTCCTAGCATGCCCATTCCCGTTCCTATCCCTTACCGCCACCCACCTCCATACGAGCGGAGGAGCAGACGCGAACGAGAAACAAGCAACGCAGGAAACGGCAAAACCTGGCCTCATGTTCTCGCCCGTCACGCTGTCCTCGGATACGACCCGTAACAAAATATCATCAGCCCCCAACGCTGATAGATGAAAGCAAGGGCCGCCCACCCGAGCAGCGTGGCGAACGTCTCCAAGTTGTAGGTGCCGAACTATGAACTGCCGACATCGATCGGCGTGTTGTTCAAGGTGTACAGGTCGTTCAAGCGCTGGACGATGGCCTGGAGCTTCTTGACTATCTGGTCGAGGAAGCCTGGGATCGTCTTGCAGTGCCCGTCGAACGCCTCGCCGTACTTCTCCTTCACCTGGGCGAAGTTCATCGTGAGGAAGTCGCGCACGACGGCGTTCTGGCCGTTGGAAAGGGCGTCGACCTCCTTGATCGTACTCACCAGCTTGCCGCGCAACTCATGCGACTGGAAGTTCTGCCAGGCGACGTCGTGCTTGATGCTGTTCTCGATCATCTTGGCCTGGCCCGAGGTCTGCCCCCACAGCGTGATGGAAGTCTGCGCAGCCGCTGAGGCCTCACGCTTCTCCTTGGCCGCCACCTTCTTGGCCTCCTTATCCTCAGGTGTCTCCGCGCGGCGCCGTGAGCCACGACCGCGGCCCTTGCCGTCGCCGTCGTCGCCTCCGCCGCGGCCTGCTCCCTGCCGCTTCCTCGCAGCCTGCCTCTTCTTCTCATCCTCCGCCTCAGCCTGCTTCGCCTTCTCGGCCGCCTCGGCCGCTGCCATCGTCTCCTGCGCCCCGCGCGCGGCGGCCTCCGCCGCCGCGCGCTTGGCCCCCTCCCCAGCGGCTCCCTGGCGCTGCTGCTCCGCGGCTGCCTCCTCGATGCCATCGGCGCGCTCCGTCTTCGGGACATGCTGCGGGCTCTTCGCGGTGAGCCTCCTGCGCTTGGGCGTCGGCCTCTCCTCATCCCCTGGCCCCGCCCGCGTCTCCTCGGCTGCTCCCGCCTGGCGCCCGCCCCTCTGCGTCAGCTGCTGGGCATCCTCCAGCGAGGTGGTCGGGTTCTCCTTCATGTATCCCTCCCAACACCGCTCGAATCGGTTCTTGTAACCGCTCTTGCAGTCCGCTAACCC